TCGGTACTGGTGGTTTTTTGGCGTCTATGAATCCAAATTTTGAATCTGTTAAATCTATCCCCAAATTTGATTCAACGACCCCAAAAACTCCCTAGCTCCGCATTTTGAATGAATGGAATCAATTTTAAATTTTTCCATCATATTGGGTAGCCATATTAGGTCCGCTATTTTAGATTTTTTTTATATCTGACTTTTTTGGATTCAATGACCCCAAAAACTTTTAATACAATTATATGATATTTCTGTGGAAACTTTTTTTTTAGTCCGTTTTGAGCCCACAGCCCACCCCTGTTCCAATATCCTGCAAGTGATCCTAGTGTGATCATGTGTAGAATTCTTAACAGGATTCCTCAGGGAACCTATAAGAATCCTATATAGTAACCTCTAGAAATCCTTTAAGGATTATATACAGGAATTTTTAACTAATTGTAAGTATGTTTCAAAATTCAAGACTAAGGTTTTATTACAAGTGTTTAGGAAGTAAACTTTAACTTTGCAGTGGTTTTTTTACATTCTCATCACAATGAGAAGGAATTACATTTGGGCGATTTTGAGCATTCTCTAATTCCAGTGAATCTCGACGTTTTTTTTTATAACTCCAACTGTTGTTTTCCATTTCCAAACATTGCCATTGTTTTCAAAAATTCCTCTATTTTAAAATAGTTTATATTGCGTTGTTTATACCACAATTTCGTATTTTTTCGATTATTTACTTTTGAATTGGTTTAAATTCATTTATTTGTAGATTTTTTAAATTCTCATCATAAGTTAGAAAGTATTCATTTTGGTCGATTTTGACTTTTTTCAAATTTTAGTGAATCTGTATGTTTTGAGACCTCTTGATGCCAAAAAAGTATGTTTTGAAATCCTGTCCGTCTGTTTGTTGTCTGTAGTCTGTCTGTGGACTCATTTTGTCCCCACGATAACTTGAACGTATCTTAACGAATCGCTTTGATATTTGGTACACGCTTTCAACATGTAAAAATGAAGCCTGAGTTCGTTGGACAGACTAATCCGCCCAAAAATTCAAAAATTATTCAAATTTTAAATTTTTAAAAAATTCAATTCTTCTTGAAAAATTTTTTTTTTTAATTTTCTCTTAAAATACTCCCAAAAGTAAACTTTTTTTTCTTTAACCCTTTTCGATACAGATTAAAACAAAAAAGTTAAAAAAGTTATGTTCTATTACGTTTAAGGTAACAAAAATTTTTAATTTTTTTCGATGTGTTATTTTACTCATTAATTTTTTGCGGCACAGTTTTAACCTATTTTGACACCTTTTCTTTTAGCAACTTTCCTCTCTATAGATTTAAAGTTTTTGAAGCAGTATTCATAAAACATTTTTTCCACTATAACGAAAGCATTGTGAAGTGAAACAAAAATAATAAGTGTAGCAGGCAAAATTATAAAGAATTATAAATTAACTAAGTATAAACATTGCTATTTTTTAAGAGAAAATTCATTTTTCAACAATCTTTTAACAAATTTAAATAAATCTTTCTACTCCTTGGTTTTTTAGTTCGCTCATTACGATTCTGAAGTTAGTTTTTAAATATTCAAAATGGCGTATTGAAACATTTTTGACCCGATATTTTTAGCATTTAAAGGTATTCTGAAGGGTTAAGATTTGAAAAAATTAAAAAAACTGAACAAAAATTCTAAACAAATCTTTTTTTTAATGCTTGTAAATTGTTTATTTAAAATTTTTCGGTTCTTTTAGTACACTATTTGATATAGCCTCAAATTACCTGTAAAAATTTTATTAATGGGTTAATGCATGCCTACTTTTCCTATTGTATGTTTCTAATTTTCGAGCGTGAAACGCGAGTGTCGTGATGAGAATGTTATCCTTAAAGTCAAAGTACTTTAAGAAAATGAAATTTAATTTATAAAAACCAAAAATTTCACTTATATAAATTGTACAAAAAAATTTTTATGAATAAAAACATGAGGGCAAAACCTCATATAATAAATTTGCTGATTTAAAAATGCATTTACTTTAAAGTTCTTTTTTTTAATGTTTTTAAATTTTCAATTAATTTTTTCTTTTACTCAATTGAAATTAGTTCAAAGCGGAATATCTTATTTTAGTAAATAATTTGATTTGTCGATTTTCGTTAATTACAAAGACCTGGCCAATCAACGGCGCAAAATTAAGGAACTAAGTTTGAACAGCTGCACTGCCGCTATTCTCTTTTTTTTGCTCGATAAAAAATGTATTCTAATACCTTTAAAACTTACCTATTTGTAGAATTTAATTTAACGCATTTTAATAAAGACTATGAGTTGTTTCTAATAAATTTTTCAAAACAAGTCGATTATATGAAGCTCCCCTTTTAAAATAACTACTTTTGTACTTATTTTAACTCTGTGTGTAATTAATTTTACTCTTTTTAATAAAATTAATAAAAATAATTTCTTTCTTCTTGACATTTTACTTCAAAATTAATTATATCAACTACAAAGTCTGAAACAACTACAAAATCTCATTCTACCAAATGGATTCTTGGGTCATTCAACTACTTTCTGGTAGTATAATTAATACAATTTTTGAATGTAATTGAAAAATTTTTGAATTACACAGTGTAGTTAAAAAGTAATTAATGCTACTAGGTTTTGAATTGTAATAAACAAACAAAGCGCGTAGCGCGATGCTTAAACAATGCACGCGAAGCGGGACGAACATCCTTCGCGCGCCCCGGGGCGCGCTCAAACTAGCGAGCGAAGCGAGCCCCTACGCGCGAAGCGCGTGATGAGAATGTGGCCGCCCCTGCAGGGGGCTGCCGGATTTTTTTTACATACAGTGCCACTCATGAGATTTTGCCCACCCTATACAAAATAGGCGTTGCAAAAAGTTTTATATTTTTGTTTCTAATAAAGATAAAACAATAAACAATGACTTTTTTTAAAGCTCACATCCTCTACTTTTATAATATCTAAAAAGTGAATTAAAAAAATTTTTTTTACTGTTTTATTTCTCTTATTAATAAACAGAATTTTAAATTTTTTGTTGGTAAATTTTAAACTAATATATTTTTTTAACAAATCATCACATTTTTATTGTACATATAGCATTTGAAAATGTAACTGAAGTCCGCAACGTTTTTATAAACGAAAACGAAAAAATAATTAGATAATAATGTATTACTTTGACATAAAAAGTTTTTTTATAGCTATAAAAAGATTAATTTCTTAAAAGTTTGTGCAAATCAAAATTAATAATAAAATGTCTTGAAAAAATCATTCTATTTTAATTTTTCGTTTTTAAAACGTTGCAGACTTTAGGTTCATCATTTGAAAGATAATTTATTATTACCTTTAAAACGCCTTTTTTGGGGCGCATGATTATTCCATAAAAATCATTAGTTAGAATTTTGATTTGAAAGAATTTTATTAGATATAATTATTTTTTAGACGAATTTTCATTTTTCAAATTAGAATTTGACACAATTTCTCTTCAAACGAATTTTTATTGTACAGAATTCTTAAAACGCCGAATTTTTATTTGTCCGAAATTGCAAATGGCCGAAAAAACAATCAACAGAAAAATTTTTCAACGCTTTTTTTAAAATTAACCAATCATGATTTTCTTGACAATTTATGATTGGTCAATTTTAAAAAAAGCGTTGAAATTTTTCTGTTGATTGTTTGTTCGGCCATTTGCAATTTCGGACAAATAAAATTTCGGCGTTTTAAGAATTCTGTACAATAAAAATTCGTTTAAAGAGAAATTGTGTTTAATTCCAATTCGAAAAATTCGTTCAAATGAAAATTCTAACTAATGATTTTTATAGGTATCTTTATGTTTTTCGACCTCAGGAATCCAAAAATCACATTTTTAAAAAATGTCGTTCCGTGTGTATATATGTATATATACACTAAATTTTCTTAAATATCTCGAATACTATAAGAGCTAAAGGGATAAATTTTTTTTTAAATTGTAGGTCTCTCTGGCGAACAAATAATGAGAGTATTTTGAGCCATATTAATAAGGATTAACTATTATTTTTTTAAATTTATTTTTAAATCGTGTTTTGCCCATAACTTAAAAAAAATGTTAGGACACCTATGAATATTTTTCTTTAATTTTGTAGAGTTTTTTAAGACGCATCTTTTGAGATATTAGCGAACATTCTACTGATATTCTATCCAAAGTTATTGAATTTTTAAAAATTAAAGAAAAACATTTTTTGCCCATAACTTAAAAAAAATGCATTGACACCATAATAGATATTTATCTCTAGTTTTGTAGAATTTTTCAAGACGCATCTTTTGATCTATTAGCGAATATCCTACTGTTATTTTATCCAGAATTTTTAACATTTTGAAATTGAAAAATTTTGAAAAACCTGCCTTTTTTGCATTTATTTATTAAAAAAATATTTATGTATCTTTAAAAGTATTATGAACAACTTGGATAATATTTAAAAACAAATCAATTGACCTATTATTGAACCTTTTATTGTGAAATATTACGAAGTTATTGATGTTTAAAATCTATCTCTGCAAATACCCAAAAATACAACTTAATACCTTCTTAAAATTATTATAATACCAAATAATCTATCATAAATTGATCACAAAAAATATCCATTGGGAAGCAAAGTGTTCATTTTATAAACACAAAAAGTTGATACTTCAACTTGGCAGCAGTTTTTAAAACTATTTTTCTCTAATTTGTTAATAATTAAGAACATAAAATCAAAACGTAAATTCCAAGAAACAAAAGGAGTATGTAATAATTAAAGTCAGCTGATTGTGAAGAAAGAACCGCCACATATGGTTTTTTTTTATTGGATACTTAACAAAGAACAGTGTTATTGTTTTTCAAATTCGTGTATAGTAAAATATCCAGACTTTTTTTTGTACCAAACGTGTATTAAAATTTATTTCAAAATCATCAAAAACGAATATTTAAAAAAAAATTCAAGAAATAGATTTCTAAATATATTGTTAAATAGTATGTTGAAAATATTTATTTTTTAAAAATAAAAACTCACCTTGAGTCGTCTTATTCTTCCGTCCCTCGCCGAGTTATAAACTACAGTTGGAAGATCCATCTTTTCATAATATGAGTCAGTCAACCCAGCAACACACGAGAGAATACTCGTGTGCAACTCTGTCTGGTATTATTCCTTTGTGGCAATGGTGCCAAGAGATTGGTTTTGTTTTTTTTTTTTTTTGTTTTACTTCTTCTACTCACACCTAACCTAATCCTTTCGATGCAGGTATAACAAATCAAGTTATACTGTTAAAGATACAAAATGTCACAGTTATTAAAAAATAAAAAAAAAAGATATTCACGATTTTTCCTTTCTTTTTTTTTTATATGAAACACTTTTTTTTGGGAAAATTTATTTTTTTCAAAAACTTGAAATATTGTCCTCGACTGTAAAAATAATCAGATGGATATTTCAAGTATACGATGCTTCAGAAGCTTATATGTTATATTTGTGTGTTAAATTCACCGCTATATAGAAACGCCACCAATCCTTACTCCACGGCAACTTTGCGGAAACTGAAATAAGTCTGGACTGGATCAATAGTATATTTGTCTGTGTGTTGTTGTGGGCGTTTTCCAAGTCTTTACCTACTTGTGTCTTGTTTCCTCCTTCGGAAAAGCGCCTGCGTTGTCGCAGTTGCCGAGGGTCTCTCCTTTCTTAATCAGTAGTTGAAAATATCTTTGTCTTATCCATAATCTATATATGCATGTAGACTTAAATGTTTTGATATAAGTTTTGATGATTGCTCAGTCGGTCTCTTTTTTTTCTGTTTTTGTATTTAAAGGTGAATCCCTTTTTTTCCCGCCGAACAATAGTTTGTCAATAATGTAGAACAGAAACTTGACGCGAGAGTGAACCACTTGCTGGAATCGTGATGATATGTGATCATATGTGGGATTGTAAAAATGGTATGTAAAACAATTTTATTTTTATTATTAGATTTAATATTGCATGAATTAATTATAAATTTATATTATATATTATTAATTTTTATAATTGTAATTTACGATATTTTATTCATTATTATTATTATTTTTTAATTGTTTCAATTAAACCGGTCTGTAGTTTGTCTGTAAAACACAGTTTGTGGTGTGGCGCTACTTTGACCCTCCCCTCCTCTTTAATATTATGAAGAAAGGTATTGCAGCTGTTCTGCTATAGTGTCATGTCAATACGTATAATTATTGTAAATAATTTCTGTTTTTATACAATTATAAGTGTTACTACACTATAATTTAAGGAGGATCTTGACCGTAACATAACCTCAAAGTAAAAAATGATTTTTTAAGGCCATGTGGGCAAAGGACGTTTTTTTTGTGGTTTCCAACTTTCTTTGTAATAAATAATGATTTCGGGTTAAAATATTCAAGACTTGATAAAGGAGGGTGCAAAGCATAGGGCTTCACTTAACGCAAAAATAATAAAAATAAAGCAATAAATAGTAAAATAATGTATTATATCATAGTTCATTCAGAGGCCACTTGCTCGAATTGGCGCTGTTTACTGGAGTACTGACACACTCAAGCAACGTCTGTGTATGCGCCGCCATCTTTGTTGTCATTTTCGTTTAAAAATTAAACTTTTTAAATAATTTAACGCAAAATTAAGTTTTTTCAAAACAGCGCGGTGCATTGTACCCAAATCTATCAATCCTCAAAATTTTAGCCTAAAATCTTTTTTCATTTTAGAGAAAGTTGGAATATTGCAAAACACATTTTCCCATAGTAGGTCACGTGGGTTTCTTCCACATGCCGTTAAGGCAAACAAAAATAGGGTAAACGTGGGTAATTAATTAAAGCGATTTTTTAAAAGAAACACTGAATTATCAAAACTTAAAATTGCAATAAAAACCAAACGAATAATTTTTCAAAACCATTTAGGGATTTTACTCTACTGGGGTAGTGTTTTCATCTTATCATAATATAGTCAAGTCTTAACCCAAACAAATTTTTCTAAAATTGTTCCACTGTGTTATGTTAAAAAATTTCATCATTTTTTAAAAATATAAATCGTCGTTTCGCTCAATACATTTTATAAAGTAATTGAGGAGCAAATTTTCAAACGCTGATAAATCCATTTTTTCAACAAAAAAAAAGAGGAGATAAACATAAATTTAATATTTTAAGGACCTAGAAAAAAAATCTATTAACAACGAATTTTCAATTTAAAAACTTTTTGACATAAGTAACCAAGATGCTTATAATTTTTTTTGCTTTTTATTAGAAATAATTACCAAAACCTGTAAATCACTAAATTATGATAAAGTTTACCCCTACAGCACCGAAACTTTCCTGAATATTTAGTAAATATTTATTTGCAATATTTGGGATTTTTAATTGTAATGTTTAGTGAAAATTGTGTAAAGATTTAAATGTCCCGATTATAAATAAATGTTCAGGAAAGTTTCGTGCTAAACATTTATTCAAGTGGGACATTTAAATCTTTACACAATTTTCACTAAACATTGCAATTAAATATTCCGAACATTTCAAATAAATCTTTAGAAAAGATTCAGTGCTGTGGGGGTAATTAAAAATAGAACGTCTTGAATATAAAAACATTGCTATAGAAATAAACTATTATAAATTTTTTATTTTTAAAGTAACTGTAGTGGTTATGTGAGATAATTTGTTTGTTTTAAATTCTCGAAATAAAAAAATAAGGATTTATCAGGTTTTGAAAACTTTCTCCTCAATTATAATAGAATGAATTGTTTCTTTAACTTTTTTGTTAACCACTTTTTTAGGCCTCGGATCTTTCTTATTTCAAGTATTTTTAAAAAACTTTAACTAAAATTCTTAAATTAATTATTTTTAATAGTTTTAATGTTATTCTTCACAAATTCAGTTACCTTTAAATATTTTTCAATTTAAAATTTTATGAAATTCAATAATTGTTTAAAATTTTTTAAAAATCAGGAAATAAAATTACCAATACAAAATGATATAATAATAATAGTTATTTAATAATGAGATAATTAATTATTGTAAATTTATTTATATTTTTTTATTGACTTACTTGACTTCTAATTTAATTTTCAATTAATTTAACTTTGAGGTTACTCTTAGTAAAATGTAGGTATCTTTTTAAATATTTAAAATTCCAGTCATAAATTTTTTTTATTAATATTTCAAGTCAAGGTTAATTCTTATGGTTGTATTTTTTTTTTTTTAATATTTGATAAAAGTTTTCTTTCTTTATTATTCAAAGTTCATAAAATCACATCAAAAGGTATACAATATAGACATAAAAACAAATTCACAATCACGCTCTTTTGTTTTGTTTTTTTTTCTTTAAAGGAATAAATCAAGTTTATTTTGAAATATAAATGATTTTAATTTATTCTTTTAACAATTTGACTAAATTACGAATTGAAACAACTTTACATTTTTTTCATATTTATCAGATTTTAATATATATTTGTTTAGATACAACAAGATATTTTTAAAAAGATATCTCATAATTCAAAAATTTCCGAAAATTTTTTTTTTTTAGTTTATATACAGAAAAAAATTTATTTGAATTAAATATGTACTTGATTACTTGACTATTATTTAATTAATATTTACTTGGACCAAATAATTTGTATTTCAACTAAATAAATTGTATTTGAAACTAGTAAACAATAATTTCTGTATTTGAAACAAAGAAATAAATCAAATAAATAAATAATAATAAATCAAATAAATTTTTTTTCGGTGTTAGAATAAAATATGCTTGTATTATCAAGATTATGTTCTTAAATTTATATTATTTCTCTTTTTTTTCTTTTTTTTTTTTTGACTTAATAATAGTAATATTTATTGCTGACAAACTTTAATTTTGAAAGTGTTAAAAAAAGTTTTTTTTCACATTACCGTCGGATTGGTTTTTCCAAATTCATAATATGGCGCGAAGAAACAGATGTTTTAATTTTGAGTTATAAAATTTTTATTGCACTATATTTTACGATGTGAAAATTCCCTTTTTTCCCCATGAATACGTATCATAAAATGAATGTCAAAAAGAAAACTTCTTAAGTCGGTAAAAATATTTTGTTCTATACATATTTCCCAAAGTAGACATACTATTTTTGGTTAAAACGAATAAAAGATTTTAAAATAGATATAGGTATGTAAAAATATTTTGTCGCTTTTCATAAACAGTTTATATTGCCCTAATATTACAAAAACTTTGAATTTTGAAGATAAATATTCGGCCCACACTTGAACTGGTATAATGGTCGTTAAAGGATTATAGCTTAATCTTCTCTTGGGGGTTACAACAGGAATTCTTAGGAGGCGTATCCTAAAGATTTGACCCTTGGGACATTATTATTCCGGTCATTTACCAATTGTTCTGCAAGTGCTCTCAATAAATTACTCTTTTGAAAATCTTTTAAAGTAAACAAAAATTGGGAATTCCCCTAAATCTTAATTAGTCAATTATTACTAACCTATTTTTTCGTACACATCTATTATTTATTATTATAAAAATATAGTTTAAATCACGAAGCTGAAGTACGCAATGTTTATGATAAACGATTTTTAAAGAAATAATTTTTTAAAATGAAAAATTCTATAATGTTTTGCCAAAAAAATATTTTTTTACAATTTGTTAATTAATGAAAATTACAAGAAATATTTTTTAGGCGAAAAATTATAGAATTTTTCATTTTAAAAAATTAATTCTTTAAAATCGTTTATCATAAACGTTGCGTACTTCAGCTTCGTGTTTAAATCATCTTTTTTTTCATTGGTTCGTGTAATTTTAAATTTATGTATTTTGATAAATAATTATTTTATGATTTTTTATTTTTTTTTACCTATATTGCTTAAAATTTCATAATTATAAAACTATTTACATTATTTATTGCAAAACATTGTAACTTAGTAATAGATATTAACAGACCTCTGATTTTATGACTTTTTCCGAATTTTTTTCGAAAATACGACTTTTTTATTAAAAAATAATAAATTATTATTATTATTATTATTATTATTATCATTTAAAATTTAAACAAAAATCAGCAAATAAAATTACTAAAAATTTTTAATCAAAATCAGTTGAAATTCAATTGTTTTCACAAATTTTAATTAAAAACTTTCTAAAATTCTATTATTTCTAAACTTTTCCATCTAAAACTTTCTGAAATTTAATAATTTTAACACATAACTTTTGAAATTCAATTATTTTTAAAGATTTTTATAATTTTATAATTTTTTTTTATTTCACAATTAAACAATTTAAAACATTTTAAAGTTCAATTTTTGTCCGTAATTTTTAATAAATTCTTCAGTAATAAAATTCGCCGAATATTTTAATCAAAAATCACTCAATCACTCAGTTCAATTATTTTCAAAAATCCAGGATAACTGGAGGAAACAAATTGTGAAGATTTTAACCAAAGATATCGATTTAAAGTGGTGTAAATTTTTAACTGGCCTTAAAAAAATATTTAAAGAAAATAATTTATATATAAAAAGAAGCTTTAAGTAAGTTTAAAGTTTGAAGTTGTATATGCCCATGCCCTATATAATGGCTGTAAAAAACTACAAGT